ATGGTAAGAAGACTTCATAGTGATTTGAAGTGCTAGTTCTGTGTTGAGATCCGTTGCCAGGACACGACTAGTGAAGACTAAGAATCCTAGTGCGTGTGCACTGTACACTGTAAACTGTGTAAATCAGTGATAGCGTTATATTAAGTGTGATTAAGAGAACTTGTAACCGAGGTGCCAATAAATCCAATCATCCCAACTAGAACCCGTTATTTTCGTCACGCGCACCCTCACTAGTCTGACCACTAACAGTGTTGTTAACAGCCCGCAGAAATATCAGACTCCAAAATGATTCGAGAACCACAGTTTAGTAACCACTGCTCTGAAGTGCCAGTCTGTTTTAACCCTTGTACCAGCCACTAAGTGACGTCGCCCAACTTAAACGCAGAATGTAATAAGCTCTTATCGCTTTGCCGAGTTCGGCTTTATTGCCAGTGGCAGCCAATTGTTTGGTTTCGCGTGAAGGCATGAAGTGGTTAGCCTTGAAGTTAGTGAGACCGTAACTGCAACCAAGCCAAGCGCCGTGTGACGGACTGGACGTTCCTGTTTCATTTCTCTGTTGGTCATTTTACGTCGATTTCAGTAGCCACATTATACAGCGTCGGCCTGGGGGAGGGGCCTAATCGGGGCGTACCAGGAATTTACTTGGAGGGGCTGAGGAAAGCCACGGAAAACCTCAGGATAACCGGTGCCGAACTGAACACGCCCAGAATACTAGTCTGGATCATACAGCGTCGAATTGTCGACTTGTGGTCGTGCTTAATTTGAGGTACTTTCCCAGCATTCACCTTGAGAGCCTAAGGAAAACCACGAAAACCCTCAGTCAGAACAGTTAATGTCCTGGTCGAGATTTGAAACGGGCTCCTTCCAGAAATACCACTGTAACTAAACATCGTGGCATGAAAGCATGTGGAGAAGTGGAGGTGTAACTCCACCTTTCTTGATCTTGTCACTAGATGGAGGTGAGTGATTAGCTTCACGCCCTTGCCGCTTTACTCCCAGGGGGTAGGGCTCCCAGTGCCCATTGGATACGAGGCTGGATGGGCCCCAGTGACGGCCTGGATGCTATGGAGAAGAGAAAACTCGCTTGCACCTGCCAGGAATCGAACCCTGGTTGTCCAGCCAATAGCCTAGTCACTATACTGACTGAGCTATCCCGGCTCTTTGGGCGCCTTCCAAATACAAATCAGAAGCATTACTCCTGGAATAAATTTCCTTCATTTACTTATTCCATCTGTTACATGCTACATGTTCACATGCACTTCCACTGATGGCCACATTGCTGCTTTCTGTAATTGTATTCATATGTTCTTACACTAACAGACCTCAGTCAGTATAGTGACTAGGCTATGAGATGGACGACCAAACAATTGGGGTTCAATTCCCAGCAGGGGCGCAGATTTATCCTCTGTTGGACCTAGGCCGCCATTTCAGTTTCTTAATCTTTTCACACAGTCGGTAGGAGTCCTTGGATGGGAGGATCAGCCCGTCATGAGACTCCTTCATGCAGCAGTGTTCAATTAAGTACGGGGAAAATTTTATGATTACCTTAATGCACAGAAGCTGTACTGTAACAGCAACAAAAACCAAGAGCGCTGAAGTTTTCCATGGAAATGCACGTTTCATGGTCCCCAGTACACATCTGGTTCACTAATTTAGTTCTCTATATATACAACTGTGAGTCTTAACACAGTGAGTTCAGAGTTTAAATATTTTATCCCAATTAAAGTATTAATGTTAATTTAGATTTTTTTGGTCTGTCTGTAAGCATGTGACGTGAATAACTGATAGCTATTTAAATACTGAAGTACATAATATTTCTTGTGAGGCTACTTATCAGGCTGGCACTATAAAAAAAGAATCGAGCTCCCGCCAAAATAAAAATAATTTTCCACCACTGCACTGGGAGATGAGTAATGTGTTGCAGTCAAAACAACTATAAAGTACTGAATATCCTTTAGCCAGGAAACTGATCTCTGTTACAGAAGGCACAGAGATTTGGACCATATACTTTCTGGGCAAAAGACAACTAATGCACTCCTTACATCACCACAGACACCTGAGTTCTATCCCAGAGTAGTACATGTGGGATTTGTGGTGGACAAAGTGAAACTGGGGCAGGTTTTCTTTGAGAACCTCAGTTTTGTCCTGTCAATCAACATTGCACCGAAGCTACTTACTTATTCACCATCAGGGGCTGGTACAATAGGCCTATTTGGCACCACAGCACCAAGAGACTCAGCCTCACCCTATTCCTACAACTAAAATCCAACATAATCTTTCAACAACAGTGATCCACGTGGAAGTATTCTGTAGCAAATATCTTTGAATGAGCATCTGATTGCATCAAATACTATTGCTGATACTATATAATACAGGAGAAACTGAAAGAAAGAGATCACTTGGAAGGCCTAGATGTAGATGGGAGGAAAATATTAAAATGAATCTTGAAGAAATACGTATAATGGTAAGGTGTGGACTAGATAAATCTGGCTCAGAATGGGGGCCAGTGGCAGGCTCTTTTGAACATGGTAATGAACCTTCCGGTTCCATGAGACACTGGGAACTACTTCAGTACCTGAGCAACTACAAGCTTCTCAAGAAGGACTGACCTGGATGGAGTCAGATTACGTGTTATGTTGCCAGATTAACTGGGGTGCAGTGGCACAGTGCTTAGGCGCCTCAACATTAACTTAACATATTTTCAGATTACAGTAAAGCTTGTATATCTAAAAGTTCCCATCTTCTGTTTGAATGCACAGTCCTTTCATTGAAAATAAAGCCTTCCTTACTCTATAACCAGTCACATGCCAGGTTAGAGATGAAGCCATCAACTTAAAGACCTAGGACATTATAATGCGCTGCTTGGTCAGAGCTGTTGTAGACCTCATGAGGCAATGGAGTGGGTGTGTGGCAGGGGCAGAAACTTTTCATATCCAATTCATATTCAATATCCTGTGGGCCTGTGAATATAGCAACACATTGAAGGAGGGCCTCATTCTACCATAAACTGGCACTGATTATGGTTTTAGTTTTGCAGTAGCAAACCTCTTGATAACCATAACTCATCCCCATAAAATATATATCTTTAATATCCAGTGTCTTCTAAGAAGTTAAAGCAGATGGAACAACAGTTGTAATACCAGTTTCAAACACATTTTGTATTCAAAGCTGGTAATTGTCTGATTCTTCTTTTTACCCTTCTTTCCAGATACTTGTTTACTTGCTGCAAAGCTAATCAGAAGTAAAGGAATCAAATTCCACAGCGTATAAATTCTTTTGTTCACAACAGTGTGGGCATGATATGGCACATATATGTGCTTTTCTTTGTACTTCATTCAATGGCCATGCCAGGGCTTAGACAGGTAGGCACTGGCTTCTAGAAGCAGAGCCTCACATTCAATCCCGGGTGACTTCACATGGGATTTGTGGTGGATTGAGTGCCACTATAGTGGGTTCATCTTCTAATTTCTTCAGTTCTCCCCTGCTGATTATCAATGATTATTCTTCATGTAAATGACATCTGATGTGGACTGACAATGTTGAGTGCTGTCTCCCAACACAGATGGCACCAGTGTGTGTTGAACAGTTTCAGAGATGTGATATCCAAACTGAGGCACACAATTTTCCCATTATGCAGAGAAAGTGTGTTCTGTATCCACTGGCATTAAACAAGAACTTTTCATACATCATATTATCACTGCATACCATACCACAAGTTCTATTTCTGCAGATGTAGACACCACTATGTACGTATTTCAGTCACTAAGTGCTCATCATCTGGTGGGTATACATATAAAACTGTACAGAAACTACAAGACTGTAAGGGAGCATACTTTTGTAATTCCAGTTATTATCCTGAGACATGTAGTGACAACTTCATCTGTAGAAACAGCCTTTCCAGGAAAAGACCATGGTACAAGTTTTCAGGTTTTATGATGACTGTTGCTCAGCATGTGGTCTTCTGGATTGTGACACTGTAGTTCCATTAAACTTCAACCCTGAAGATTTAAGTCAGCATTTTCATCCAGAAGGCCGGTATCCGCCAGCAAGACTACATACAGAGTGTTGCGTGTCAGAAGAATACAATACGCATTGAATAAAAGAAGGAAAACTTAAGGGGCTGGCCTAGACTGGCCCTTTCACTGTGACTTTTAATGATCTACTGTACATCAACTTCTATTTCAACCCTTCAACAGTTTGATTTGTTTCATTCTGGTCCTCACACTAACAATATCATGAAAAGTTAAACAGTTCCATCTAGCGAGTGGTGAAGATTTTTCTTCTTTCAATTATTTATGCCCTTACATGTTTCAGTCTTCAGAGACCATCGTCAGAGGGGTCTCTGAAGACCGAAACATGTAAGGGGGGATAAATAACTGAAATAAGAAAAATCTTCACCAGTCACACAAGACAGAACTGTTTAACTTTTCATTAACTTTAACAATCCTACACTTCAAACGAGGTGCAATATCTTACTTATAGGGGTGTATTAATGGTCACTTGGCTCCATAAAGTAATGGGATAGTTTCTTCTACTTTATTCCCCACTCTATATTGACTAATCATCCTACAAAAAAAAAAAAAACTCGGTGATTTAGTCCACAAGTGAATTATACCGACTGAGCGACCGCCGCTTGTTGGTGAAGTTAGTGCCATCCTCAGCAGATAGAGGGTGTTGCGTGATCAGGGCAATGGATCCCCACAGCCGTTAATCTCGGTTTTATAGACCGGAGCCGCTATTTCCTTGAAACAGCTCCTCAATTATCCTAAACGAGGCTGAGTGGACCCCATTCCAGACCCACTACTTCTCAGAAAATCTGGTAGCGGCGGGAATCGAACACATGACTCTGGATCTGTAGCCAGGAACTCTGACCACTAGACCACAGAGGCAGTCAATCATCCTACAGCATTAAGAAAACATAAATAAACAAAAGAAAGAGACAGAAAATCTTTGTATGCTTCCTAATCTCTGACTGCTATCTTTTCCCATCTGTTGAACAGGAGCAGCATGAGTACAAGAGCATCCCTGCAGAGAACAAGTGAGCTGCAACATGAGTGAGACTACTAAACCAACACAGGAACGTCAAAACAAATATGTGATCATGAACACCGACAGGAACAATCTAGTGCCACTCAAAGTCCTCCTCTTCTGTTTCTTTGGCGGTGAGTACACACTACTGAGACATGTACCATATTTCAAGTTGACATGCAGCAAAATGCCCAACACCCATTTTAGAAACATGGGTAATGACAAAGTGATAAGAGATTATAAATATAATGAGAACAACTTCACCAAGATAACACCAAACCAAATTTCAGAACTTGCTTTAGTGCAGACCCTCCAGATATTCCATTAAATTAAACACTTCTGCGTTAGTATATATGAAAATAACGGATACCAACTGAGATCCGAGTAACCCTTCTGAATCTTCTGAAAGATAAGGGACTTCTGTATCAGAAAGTATGAAACTCACAGACACCAAGCAGAAATTAAGTAATGAACGAACTTAACAATGAACTAACCTCCTTTTGAGCAATTGAAACTTATTTGTCTGCTCCAGAAATTTTCTAATTTTAATATACCTGAAATTTTATGAGTGTGTCCATAAATGTCTGCCATTGGACCTCATCATCAAACAGTAAAATACAAACCACACTTTCATATCCTACCATAAGCTTCTAAAACTAGTTTTAATACTTCTGTCCCAGCTGTATACTGATTTTTGAAGAAAGTCTCATCCCTTGAGATTCTCTGATAAATTAGGTATGATTTCAATTGCCCCACCCTTAACATTCTCCTAAACTGAATCACCCTTTTATTAAGAAGTGAAAAGTACCTACAAATTATGAATATTCTAATTGTGTGATTTTCTTGAATCCTATATTTCTTCACTGTTATAATTTCTTATTCTCTGACCCCCTCCCAAACATCCAGGTACTGATATGCACAAATAATGTTCTGATACCCCACTCAGTTCATTAATTATAAATAAAACTGATTATAAAGCACTACTACTGATTTTAGGCTTCCATTGTGGGTTACACTTGATGTTGGCTTGGCTTTGGGTTTTTACACTGTGTGAATGTGGGCAGTGTTGCCAACGTTTCAAAAGTACATGCTGCCTCCATCTTCAGGGTCAGAATACTATGTTATAAAAGCAAGTTACTAATATAGTGGCAAGTGAATGAAAAATATATTGGTACAAATACATGGAATAATGTCAGTGGACAAAGAAGAAAATTACATATGATCTTAGTGGCTGATACTATTGTTATAATGTTCTTAGGGTAGCTAAAGAAGAGAGGTTGTTATGGGCTCAACTTCTAGTCTGGATAAGGGATGCAAGAAACCCATACATAATATCAATGAGAGAAATTTCTTACAATCAGCCAAACTGTAAGACTGAGATAGAAATGTGAAACTAATATTAAATTGTGATTTTTATTAACATGGCCTCTAATGAACTGGATCAGAATGGGGTCTACAAGAAAAGTCAACCAGTTAGATATATGGAAGAATTAATTCTATTTAAGTGCTTATATGATCTATCTCTAATGTAAATAAGGAAACTGGGCTTTTCAACAGTATTTTTAATGTACCCAAGTCAATTCTTATGGATGATATTCTAGCTGTACTTCTTTCAGTCTATGACTTTGTCATGAAAATAGTAGACTGCTCACAACAGCCATATATGATTGTTACTACAATTAATTGCCTAGGAATTAAATGCTTCGTAATATATGAGTTACAATGAACGCCACAGAGAACATTTTAAATGAAAATTTATGTATAAAATATTCAAACTCACATGTCCCAAGATCCCTTAGAAGCAGTTTGAAGTTTGTTATTATTCTATCTTCTCTCTTAATGAGCGTCACACATAATTTTCTGCGGTCGTTCTAGTTCCTGTGCCCACAAATAACTTCGGTAGACATGAAAACTACGTCATCGTTTCACTTAATGACGCTCCGTGAATAAATTTGAAATGAAACACCCGCTAACTGTAATTACCGCGTCAGGAAAGGAGAGAATTTCTTTACAATCATCTACGGTGTCAGGACCCAGAAGGTGACAATCTCTGAATCCCTTCCCGCTACTTAATCTTTTAAGGTAAATTCATCCCCGTTCGTTGAGGTTGCTATTGGTACCACTGGAAATTGATAATTAAAGTTACTTCCAATAGGTGGCAGAACAATAGCACTCGCGGTTTAGCACAGAGGCGTGACCGGGCGTGACTATGTTGTAATATTGTCAGGAACGTCAAGAATGTGACGGTCTTTGTGGTTTTGCTTATGTTTTTGTTTCATGTTGCAGTGGCCAATTAAGGAATATTTCTGGGTGAGACATTTGCTCCACACCGGCTAGCGCAGTCTGAGTAATACTGTGCTTCAGACTGTTGTTAAATATGTCCCGAAAATATGCATTATTTTCAAAACGTAAGCAAGATTTGTGCATGAAGTTAGAAGAGTTAAAAGACGAGGGAGACAGTGTTGTAAACTACGTAAGAAATATAATTGATCAAGGAACTGAATTAGTAGGAGATCTAGAAGGAGTGTCAGATCATGTGGTTTTCCTTCAGAGGTATCCAGCCGTTATTAAGGAATTGGACAGGCTCTTGAATAAAATAGTGCGCTTGAACTGTAACATTGAACTTAATACTAGTGATGATGAAGTGGAAGAAAAAGTACAAACTGAACGTTGTGTAACAGAAGAAGTGTTATTACGCAGTAAATCCACAATTCATAATTCTGAACTGTTAACACCCGAAAGTTCGGTTCACTTAAGCACTGGTCATGATGTGAATTCTGACACTCATAATTACCCACTTTCGCCGGAGGTAACTCATTCGGTGCCTCCATGCCCAGTGCATATAGGCGATATCTTAGATATGCGTTTTCTGCATGGAAACAGCCCTCACAATTTCTGGTTGGGTTACTATAAGTCCAGATCTTTAGACTGCTTGAATGAAACTATGTTGTCTCGCTATCATATGAAACATTTGTTACCGTGTGATATGTCTTTACTATTCAGTGGTACATATGTATGTGCTTTTGACGGTAAGAAGTGTTTTCGTGGTAAAATTTTGAGAATTCGTTTCGAACAACCAGTTCGCCTCATGGTTCTTGATGTTGACAGTGGCAGGATACGGAAAATTGAACAAGACTCTGTTTTCAGACTTGACGAAGAGTTTTCAAAAACTCCTGTTCAAGCTCTAAATTGTTGTTTGCGGGGGAATTTGGGTGATCCTTTGTTGTGGGATGAGGAAGTGGCCCCTCTCTTCTGTAAGTTGCTAACAGAGTCAGCATTAGTTGTGACTGTTTGTGAAAAGGACAGAGGTGATCCACCCCAGTTTCGAGTTGATGTAGACTGCCATAATGAAAAGCGAATCAACAATAAGATTGATGTGAACAAGTGGGTTATATTTTCTGTAATTCCCAAGTTGAAGGAAATGAAGGAAGATGGCAAAGGTGATGGTATATTAAAGTGTCTGTATACATATCTAGACCCAGTCATAAGAGATGAAGAGGACTCTACAGAACAGGGGTTCCACTCAGACAGTGGCTGTTTTACAGAGATCTCAACCCCTTTAAGTCAGATTTCACACTCAACAGTATCCTGTTCTGTAATGCCTGTCAAGGGAGAAAATCAGTTTCACAGTCAAGATCATGAACACACTACATCACTGAGTCATGTAGAACTCGCCCCATGCTCTGACATTAAAATTCAACCTGCAGAATCAACACAGAACTTGAATTTAGGTACAGATTGTAAGGTGAGGACAGAGTTGAATCAGAGTTCTTCTGCACCAGAGACACTTGGTCACAGTAAAGAATGTGACAAGAATCATTTGACATCTAGTTCTTTCCATGTGACAGGGTCGCATGTGACTAATAATGTAACTGCAGAATCTACATTGCTTCTGCCAGATAAAAATATTTCCCTTCACCAGCCAGTGCTTGTATCCTCGGCTGGGCAAAGTTACAAAGCGATGTTGTCACATATTGAGGACCCAGGTGAGTTTTATATTCACATAGTATGTGAAGACAACATTGAAATTGACAGCCTCCAAAATGGGATGACTCGATACTACAGGACAGTTAGTCCTGCATTTAAATCAAAGGAAGAAGCAAAACGTCATATTATTTCATTTTGTGCTGCTTTTTATGATGTTGACAATAACTGGTATAGAGCACAAATTATTGATTGGAATGAAGACAATGACAGTGATACTGTAATCATAAAATATGTAGATTATGGTAACAAGTCTTCAGTACACTTCTCTATGCTACAGCCATTGAGAGCAGAGTTCACAGAGTTGCCAATTTGTGCCAGAAGATGTCACTTGGCCATGATCTGCCCCAAGACTTCCACAGAAGATGAAATACCAAAGTCTTGGTCACATGAAGCGACACATTTGTTCAAATGTCTTGTGAATATGGAGTCAGTTTACTTGGTGATTTTGATGGAGTCCATTGATGACACTATGTCATCACTTTCAGTCATTTTACAGGACTGCCAGAAAGGTGGATGCCCTGTCATCAACGAATTCATAGTCGAACTTGGTTATGCTGTAAGTTTTCATCCATCTGTTGCGCAGAAAAGAGAGCAAGGCCAAAATGCACAAAATTCAAAAACTGACAATGACAGCAATGAGGATTCCTTGTGTAAAGAACAGCTTTGTGCAGTAGACATGTCCAGCGACTGGAACCCAATGGCGGAGGATTACTATTCCGCAATAAATACTCTGTATCACGATGATGAAGATGCCTGCTATGCTGTGACAGGTTACAAGCCACAAGACGAGAAGAGAATCTGCAGATTTTATGCTCGGACAGGTAGATGTTACAAAGGCGAAACTTGCCTTTGGGAGCATATATATGCACATCCAGATGGCTGGACGACAGACAAGGAATGTATGTTCACAGATGCGATTACTAAGCTTGTTCTTCCAGATGTACAAGATGAAATTCTGTTACAGGTAACTTACATTACAAAAGTAAATATGTTCTATGCAGTCATTTGTAATGAGTGTCAGAGAAGTTCTGACAAAGTGCAAATCAAAAGGATAGATATAAAAGAAGAAGATGAGGAAAAGGATGAAACATTGGTAACACTGAACGATTATCTGAATGAGGAACATAATGTAAGAGCCTTGAGAAGTTGCACTGTTATGCCAGCTCTTGGTCAGATAGTAGTCGCACGTTTCAGCAAGGATGGTCGCTTCTACAGGGCTCGTGTCATGGATTATTCAGATGTAGAGATTTGTGTGTTTTATGTTGATTACGGAAACAGGGAATGGGTAAGTGAGTCAGATATCCGTGAAATAGAGCCAAGGTACCTGCATTTGCCATTCCAGGCTGTAGAATGTGTGCTGGCGAATGTGGATGAAGTAAGTGAAAATTTGGATGCAAAGAAGTTCTTTGCAAGTATGGTGTATAACAAGACACTACATGCCCAAGTCATTGCACGTCTGTGCCACCTGTCAAGACTTGAAGTACATCTCTGGGATGATGAACGTTGTGACATAGGAGCCTATATGATCCAGAATGGCTACGGACGGGAACGAATCTACCGTGAACATAGCCTTGTCACTTGAAGGAACAAAACTGCTACCACTGTATTTTCTTTGACCAAAATATTCCACAAACTTACTTTAATCACAATATAATTTTGCCTGTAGTTTCTGGGCTCTGACTTTGAGAGTGTGTAAATAGGGTGCCAAGGAAAATATTTTGACATAAAAAAGTAAAGGTATCCCTGTAACAGGCCTTCGATGCCCATAGGATTGTGAGATGTTGAGGTTCCCACATTTTCTAGACAGTCGGCTCATAGATGGCAGTAAGGTTGTTAGCCATATGCGCTGGCCACCCTTTACCCCCAAAAATCTTCCTCGGTAGCATAGTTGGTTGAGGCACTACGCTACAAAACGGAAGGTCGCAGGATTGATTCCCAGTGAGGTTAATTGATTTTTCAATTGACCTAATCCTTCCAGCCGCACTATGGCCCTGGGGTCGACTCAGCCTCTAACAGAAATGAGTACCAGGAATCTCTGGACATAAAGAGGTATGATATAATAAGAGGGTTAGGAAACAGCATAATGATGAGCTTCATAACTTTACTCCACACCTGGTACAATTACGATGATCATGTCAAGGAGGATTAGATGGGCAGGGCAATGTAGCATGCATGGAAGATAACAGGAATTCATATAATGTTCTGGTTGGGAAGCCAGAAGGAAAGAGACTGCGAGAAAGGCCTAGTTGTGGGTAGGATGATAATGTTGAAATGGATCCAAAAGAAATAGGATGGTGTGGTATGGACTAGATTAATCTGGCTCAGGATAGACACCAGTGGTGTGCTCTTGTTAACATGGTAATTAACATTTGTGTTACACAAAATGTTGAAAAATTCTTGAGTAGCTAAGCAACTGTTAGCTCCTCAAGAACGACTCATCTCCATGATTTAGTTGCTCCCCTGTATACATCCACTCCCCCCATTCGCCTTCATAGTGTAATGCTTAATTAGCTAAGCACAGGGACAGCTTTATGTTTTTTCCTTACATATAAAATAAACATAAATTATCCCTTTCAGATGCAAGGCTTCAGGAAAGTCTTCTCTTCCTCTTTATTATTGTTCTCTTCTTTCTGCATTTCTTATTATCCTTTATCTCCTCCATTATAATTTAGTCGGCCTCCTCCTCGACCCTAGCTACCTGTCCTCCTCTTGCTCGTGTGCTTCCATTTGTTTTTCTACTGTTCTTACTCCACTCCCTATCCTTGCTTTGCCTTCTTGATCATCATAATTATCAGTATCTGTGTCCTAACCCACACATTTATACCTTGAGGGTCTTACATGGTTAAATGAAGATCTTTACACAGAAAGTAAGATAACTGCATTTTATTTTATTGCCATGTTGGGTTGCTGGAAAGAAATCTGTAAGACTTTGCAATTGAGTAAGTTTCATTGAAGATTTCTTGCTGTAACTCTTCTATTAAAAATATGAGATTTGGAGCGCAGAATTATATGTATGAATTTTAGACCTTATGCAAAAAGTTGACATTTTTATTCATACATTGTATATTAAAGGTCTATTTTTTTAACGTTGTTGCATATCTGTGACTGAAGAGCATATTTTTGTAACTGAGGGCAAAATGGAACAAAATAAATTTTGAATTCCAGAAGAAACCAGTTATTTTTCATATTGTTAAGACTCACTCACTCACTCACAGAGCTGAACCCTTCTTGAGAAGCCGCCAATTCTGCAGCTACTCAAGAATTTCCCAGCATTTTATGGAACCTGAAGGTTC